AAGAATGAAAATAATAAAGGGGAAAAATGCTAAGCAAATAGAGAGAGAAAATAATCTAACTTATTTCGTTGTGTTTAAAATTAATTCTATTTTATTTTGTTTATTTTTTATTTAATTTGGTGTTATTTGATTTTAATTTAGCATATTTTAATTTAATTTTATTGTATTATTTATGGTATTTTTATTTAAGTAATATAAAAAATTTGGCACAAACGGTGGTAAAACGGACAAAATTGAACTCTAAATCAATTCAAAATAATAAATAACTATAATAATGAATAAAAATCTAAAAACTAAACCGGCAATGGTTTGAAACCGTCCGATCAAAAATTTTGACGGCTGTGATTCGTAGTGAAAAGCACGCACAAGAGAAGCGCATTCAGTGGGGGAAAAAGGGCATCTTCGCAGTGGCGAGCCCCGCCACTTTTTCCTTCGGCCAGTCGGGTGTCGATACGTGACAATCTTAGAATGAAAGACGCAAAAGTCCATGCACAGGGAAGAAAACAAGGGTAAAATTGACAATTCACACTCAAAGGACAAGAGACATAAGTGGAATTTTGAGAATGTTAATGTACAATGAATAGTAAATTGTCAGTGTGTGAACAGTGAATCTTTCCTCTCCTTTAGTATATATAATATATATATATATATATATATATAAATTGTCTCTAATGTGGCACCGAATTAGAGCTTCACATGTATATTTCTTCTTAGAACCATGTATATTTCCTCTTAAAATATGTATATAGGTGTTTAGATAAATTATAGGTGTCTCCCCACATTATACATGTTTTAAGAGGAAATATACATATTTTTAAGAGAAAATATACATATTTTTTAAAAAAATATGCATGTGCCACTTGAATAATAATTTATATATTTATATAATTGTCTCTGATCCGGTACCGGATTGGAGCGGTACATGTATATTTTTTTTAAAAATATATATAATTCTTCTTAAAATATGTATATTTCATCTTAAAATATGTATAATGTGCGAAAATACCTATAATTTGTCTAAATACCTATATATATTTTAAAAAAATATACATATTTTTTAAAAATATATACATATTTTTTTAAAAAATATACACGTGTAGCTCTAATCCGATACTGGATTAAAGACTTTACCTATATATAACAATTTTAATCCGGTACTGGATTAAAGACTTTACCTATATATAACAATTTTCTACGCGTCACTCCGACCAAGGGGAAAAGCACGTGTGGCACGTGGAATTTGAGGTGGAAATGGCAAGTAATACTCAAAGGTCAAATTTCGTCTTAAAAAAAAAAAAAAAAAAACCTTTTGGTATCTCCACAACTTCTGTTCGGATTCTAATTGCGAGTATCTCCTTAATTTTGGTATTAAATATGATTAAAAAAACTATAAAATTTTGACTTTATTTATTTTATAACTCAAGTCATAACTCAAATCATATTATTATAATATTTTCTTTTATAAAAATTTAATTTTAATTATTTTATTATAATATTTTTCTCTCATAAGTCATAACTCTAATTATTTGAGTTATCAAAAAAAATTCCTCAAGAGATAAAAGACAAAATTAACTATGAAAAAGGGTGTGGAAGTTGAGAAGATAAAAGGAATTTGGAAGTTCTTAACCTCGAAAAAGAAGAAAAAAGAAACTGTGAAGAATGATAAGAAGTTAAAAGAGAAGATATGATAAATATTTCTATGTTAAAGTGCTTTTTTTTTTCTTCTCAGTGGTGTAATTATTGTTAGATTTTATACTATTTCTTTTTTTTAATCAAAATTTTGAAAACGATCCTTTGGATCTTTCTTTTGTCTGTGTAATTTACTTACATGTAGGAATGTATTTATTTATTGATGAGCTTCAATTTTAATTAAAGAAGTTAAATGTTATTTAGAGAAATACATTTGTCACTTTTTCAAGTTTGGCACGATGTTATTTAGCGAGTCAAAATTGGTATGATATTGTAGAGCTTGTATTGCTACGAAATGTTAATTGTTTGTATTTTTTTTTTTTTTTTTTGGCTGGAAACATAACTTTTTGTGTTGTGAGAAAGGAATTGTGCATTGTGAGTTTTTCTCTGATAAATTTATTTGACTATATTTACAAAACATCTTATAGAAATTTATTGGCATCATCATTATAAAGAATGCTTTGAAATAGTTGATGAGATTGTAATTGCTTTGAAAGACTGTACAGACAAATAGTCGAGGAAATTGTCTCAAAACATGCCATCGTGATTTCATTCATCAAATGTTCCATAAAAAGGACAATAAAAAAAAATTCACAAATTGAGGGAAAATCTAATGGCCAATCCATCTATTCACGTTTACAGTATGTGACTAATGACTATAAAAATATTTTTTATTATTCACGTTTCATAAAATATTTTTATTTTTTTGATAAAAAGAAAATTATATTTTTTTAATATTTTGGTGTATAAATATTATCACTAATGACTATAAAAATAGAAATAAAACTAATTATAAGTATGTGTATTAAAGTACGTCTGTTTTAATCATTATATATCTTTACAGTGATTTTGTACATAATTTACCAAACACTAAAATTTCGACTTATATTTTTCACAGCAACTTTGAAAAAAAATTGACTAAACACCTACATATTTCTGATCAGAACAACTTTTAACTAACAACATAACAACAACATTAATTTTTAAAAGCACAACAATATCAAACTATCCAAAAAAAATTGCTCCCCTTTTAGCCGCCCCTCCTTTTTACTCTTTTGTTTTTATTTCTTATTCTTTAACTTTTTCTTATTTCTAATATTTTCTTTCTCTCCTATGGATAATTCTTTTTAGATTAGATAATTCTTTTTAAATATGTCCACACTTAATTTTTTTGAGTCAAAAACTGCGGAATAATTCATGTGATTTTTTAAATACTTTTTTCTCATTTATTTTAATTAATAAATTTAGTTTTTAAAAGGATCACCTGTTTTAATACATGATCAAATTTATAAAATTATCCCTTACGTAATACACGTGGCTCAACTATTTTATTAAAAAAGATGTTTAGTTTTTTTTTTTGCTCGAAAAGAAATGGTATTTACTATTTAGTTAATTAAAATTAATTAAACTAAAAATATAAATAAAAATAATAAAAGGCTTAACAGCCCTAGGAAACCACGTGTAGATTCACCGCCTTAAGAGACTGCGTCTGGAAAGTCACCGACCTAGGAATCGCGTGAAATGAGTGCCTTTTTTAACGTTGATAACCATTACTTTTCAAAATCATCATTTTTTAACGTTATTATAAGACAAAATTGTTCTTGTGGATAATTAACGGTCAGGAGAGCGAGAGAGAGAGAGAGAGCAGAGAGAGAGAGAGAGAGCAGAGACAAGGTGTAGTGAGCAGAGGGAGAGACCGAGAGAGAGTGTGGGAAGAGAAAGAAGGAGACAAGGTGGCGTGAAAGAGGGGATTCTTAAAGTCGTCGTTGGAGGAAGAGAAGAGAAAACAGGAGAGAGAAATTTCTCGAGCGACAAACACTTTTCTTGCTTTTTCTAGTTTCTTCAAATTCATGATTCCCTTCGATATTCCTTCCGGTATTTTCTCGTGATCCAAACAGCAAGCAAACGACAATGCTCTCGCTGCAAAGCGATTGGCGGCCGCTCCTCCACGGCCAGTACCAGAATCAACCGCCGGGGACGC